ATTCTCGCGTCGTGAATTGCCTAGATCTCAGTCACGGATTTTTCCGGCTCTACTCACAAGGGAAGGCCGTAGAGGTCACCGTGTTTTGACAAGCCTCGGATACATTGCAGAGAAGTCAAAAATAAGAAACATATTGTTTCATAAATGCTCTCCCTCTCGCATATTTACAGATTAAAACAATCTCCCGAGACCAATTCTGTGTATTGGATTACGAGCAAATATTATTGAAGCCGCGAAATATACGAGAAAATATTTAACACAAAAATTTCATGGCATTTGATCTATAATTATGTGTTAAGATTCCTGTGCCTTCGTCGCGGCCATTTCGATTAATGACATTAGAAGAGCGAGAAAACGTATGCCCCAAAATTCTTGGAATACATCGAGACAAAAGGTTATGTCCACAAAATGATACCTGTGATCGACCGGGCACATTTGTAAAATATCCTGGAAACTCTTCTTTTGCTCTAACAATCAATAAATACCTACGAAATTAACGTGACAAAATCGCGAGGAAAGATAGGCTGAAAAGAAATATCGCATGTCACGTGGATTTTATTTATTGATTGTTGGAACAGGAAGAAAATTTAAGGAACACTTTACAAGTGTGCTCAATCGCAATCGCAACCGTCACCTTGTATGCATGTCCTTTTTCTTCAGCGTATCTTGCGAGAATTTTAGGCATGCGTTTCCTCGCTTCTAACGTCATTTTTAACGTATTTCTCAACGTGCCCTCACACACGGCTACAAGTAGATGCAGACGCGCAGTGTCCGCCCCGCCGGGGCGTTGCAAGTAGATGCAGACGCGTTACGTCTGCCCCGCGAAGTAGACACATACGCGACCCGCGCTGGTTCTACTCGCGCGCTGCAAGTGGATGCACGCGTGTTGCGTCAGCCCCGCTTGTACGCGCCGCTTCGCATAGCTCCGCGAGATTCTCTCGATCGCAAAATGTGCAAGAGGACAAGGAACACGCGTCTCTTATTTTGGTCTTATCTACACCGAGAGAAACTATCTTTCGGTTGCTCTAACATGAAAATGGTAGCACACTGAGAGAAAAATATAGTTGCCTTTGGCGTCAACTATACGCTTTTGTGATTTTAACCACAAAAACGATTAGAAGAACCACTGTTTTAGTAAGTGTTATTAGAAAGATGGTTTTTCTAATTATTTTTCTGGTTAAAATCATAAAAAAGTATAGTTGACGCCGAAAGCAACTATATTTTTCTTTCAGGGCAGTGACTCTTGCACGTAAGATTATTATCACTACATTGAAAAAAAAAGCTTGGTAATACTTACCAAATGCGTTTTACCATACCATTTGGTAAATAGTAATCAATATGGTAAATGTTACCAAATGTTTGGTAATAATTACAAAATTGTTAGTAACATTAACTTTCATATAGTAATGTTCATTTCTTATATTTAGTTGATACTATTTCACTAAATGTAATAATTATAACACAGGCTGGATAATTATTACCAGAAATTTTTCTCAGTTTAACATTACAATATACTTTAATAAAACGATAATCTCCTCGACTATAATGCATAGTAATTGTTTCCCTATGCGACTATAGTTTCAAATATCAAACATTTGCCTCTCAGTGTAAGCGTCATTAAAGTGGGAGACGTTTCCAGCTGGTTAATCACGAATCTTTTCCTCTAGAGAAGTGAAAATTTTCTAATATAAAAGCATATACACCGAGAGAACGATTTATTGAATCAAACAAATGTTTCTTTGGAATAGTCCAAATATTTTTGTTGCGTCAAACAAAATTTTGTTCGATCAATAAAAAAATTCGTTTGGACTATTCCAAAGAAGTGTTTATTTGATTCAACCAAATCTCTCTGTGTAGAAATGGTTCTCTCTGTATAGAAATGTTCATTTTTCACAAGTTTACGTTAGGGGAAAAGATTCATGATTAACTCCCTGATCCCTTTGTTAGATCCGATATATAACAACAAATATTGGATTAGTCAAACTTACGCTTTCCATACGTTTACCATGTTGCAAACGTTCAAACATCACCATTGACCATGAAATTGAAGTATAAATTGACGCGTGGTCCGATTTCTAGCGGATTCCTCAAGCCGAATTTTGATCACTTGCAAACGACTCGAGTTTGATAATTGGTGTTTTCTCTCGCTCGACGGAAATCGACAGTGTCTGATCTGTTTTTCCGAGGACGAGGTTGACGGGACGGCTTCTCACGGGCGAGCTAAGGGAACGATAGGCCGCGAAATAAAAGCGGCGTTAACACACGTGCGTCCCGCGGAGGCATTGCCATGTTGAAACGCGTACGCGTCACTCGGTAATTGCGATTTATTTCTCTTAATCGCCGCGTAAACGGCGGCCGATTTATGCGGTCCGAGTTAATTTCGCGCAATTATATAATTACCGGGTGCAGCCATCGTGCGCGCAGCGAGCCTAATCGGTTTGCGGAGCGAAGCGGAGCGCCGTAATGGCGGCACTTAAATTTAAAGACACTTCGGCGACTTCGAGTTACCCCTCGTCCGACCCGACCGCTCGTCTCATCCTCCATCACTCTTCGCGAGTCCCTTGATCCTTCAGTGCGAGCTTCCGCCAAGTTCTTAACTCGTAAGCCGAAGTTTGTCCTCGCAGTTGATAATAATTGAAGTACGCGTTCCTCTGCGAACAGCGGAAACTTGACGATATCTATCCGCGAGTTTTCGTTCGTGTGCCAACTTGAAAAATCCAATCACTCCAACTTAAAGGTAAAAATATTGTCGATGTTAATTCGTGCGCGAGCAATAACGATGAGAGAACGAGAGACTGGAGCTTTTAGTTCTCGTTTGCACGAGCGTGTCCCTTTGGTTTGCGAGACGCTTTTGTTATCGTCAATTCTTTCTGCAAAATTGTTTACCCGCGCGCATACGTATCCTCTATTTACAAACGTAATGTATCGGACTCGTGGCTTTTATTTTCATCGCGTTAGACGTTCTGCCGCACGGATAAGCGGGAACAGCAAGAGGGATGGCAGAGGGTCGGGATTCATTTTGCGGCACGATGCTTGGCCTCGCTGTATGGTAAAGTGAGGGTACAAAATCGATACTAGAACCTCCTCTCCCCTCTTCTCGGGATGGATGTCACTGTTTCCACGCTCGGCAGCCATGCCTTTCGTCTAAGGAGAATGGAATTCAGGCAGGATAGAATCTTAGTAGTCGAGAAAGTTAAATAGGACTTGGAAGGACTGAGAATTCACATAAAAGTAGATTTTAGTCACCGGTTTTCGTCTCGCTACGTAAAATCCGCAACAAACTTGCTTGCCAAAATTAAGAAAGAAAAAAATTGCTCTTCTCTAGAAATATATAAAATTTACGGTATCCAAGACGAGGATCAATTATGATAGACAAATCAATTAACTTAATAAAAAAAGGATACAATTTAAGTGACTTTTATGGGAATCGCAAAGCCGTAGAGGATGGTGATGAAGGTGAAGGTGAGAGCTGCTTGTGTGTGAAAACGAATTTACGAAAACAAAAGTAATGAGAATTCCAGCGTGTCAGAGCGCCTTTCTCTCATCTTCTTTATATCCAATGTGTCGCCCGTTCGTCGACACGTTGTCGAAAATTGCAAGGAGACCATACGTGAAATTGTGCGACTGCATCAAGGGTGAACGAAGGGCATGAAAGTTGTATTAGGGTGCAGAGAGATGGGAGTGGTCTCTGTAATCACGATGGGCGTGGTTTTTCACGGCTTGCTGCAGCTGCATCCCATGGGGGTGCAGCAACGCACAACCGGATTTCTGTCACTTTTGCCGCGAAATGAACGATCCGACGCGCGATTCGTTGAAATGAAGAGAAAAGGAAGGAAAAAAAGGGATCAAAATGTAAAATGTACTTCCATCGAGTTATGCGAGAAATGCGGACTCATTCTGCGCCGCTGAATAAACTGTATCGCGTTTTCGCACTTGTGTGTCCCCCAAGTAATGATCCAATTTGCACATAATTATCCTCTTTTCTCATATGCACATTAACATCCGTTCACGGATAATCCGCACCGTGACGTCACCTTATCGTACCTTCTTTCGCAAGATTCGAAATCGCCGAAAGTGAATTTCCGCCGACAGCTCATCGGCCGCGATCAAATTCCTCGGCGAATTTTCTCCGCGGCAAAAAGATCCCGCGCGGGATCGTGAAATGTCACTTTTCTATGGCGCATAATTTAACGCTATCCTTCTATCTGGCATAATTTACGGGGAGGAGCGGCGTGTTCAAGGAACAGACACTCGGCTGGCGGCGGTGGCGGCGGCGGCGACGGCAGGATCCTGAGGACGCGGCAGGAGCGAGATGTTTTGCGGGCGAGTCCGCGGCTTTTTGCGCTGTGGACGATTTCGGTGGGTGAACGGCGAAGGAGGCCGTATGGATCGCGGCTCCCATTAAGCCCTTATTAATTGCGAGCATCTGAGGGACCGACCGATCTTTCTTGCGCTACCTGCGCGCCATTCCGCCGGCCGGGCCGAGCTCGTCCTGTCGTTCGACACAGTCAGGACACGGCAGGACCTTTGATGCAGAGTCGATACGCCGACGGGACCCGTATACGAGTATACCGGATGAAGCAATGCGCCCCGCGAGGACGCGATAAATCAGGAATAGCGGCGCCGTCGGCGACGGCGATGTGTCGTTGCCGCGGTCGGTTTCTCCAACGACGAATGATTATGTTATTCGCTGTTCTTCGCGTCCTGAATGCGAACGCGGCGATTTTCGCGATCGGTTCGCCCAAAATGCCCGACATCGACAAACTATCGCGCGTTCGCGTGCTGATTCTTCTCTCTTGCTTTCTCTCTCTCTCTCTCTCTCTCTCTCTCTCTCTCTCTCTCTCTCTCTCTCTCTCTCTTACACACACTCTCTCTCACTCTCTCTCCCTCTCGTTGAGACCCGAACCGATCTAAATAAATGCTCAAACGCGCTCCCGAAATAGATCCGCTCCGGTGCGCATTCGTCGTTGACGAAACCAAACATGGAAAAGTCTACTTACTTACCGGAGAGGGGTGCGTAGTGGCCGTGAGGATAAGGCGGCGCCGAGGATGCATCGACGAGGGACTGCGACGGCGTCGCCGACGTCCACTCCTTGTAGGTCGCCGCGGCGTGCGCGTGATGCGCCGCGTGGTGAGACGTGTGATGTCCGAGGCCGCGTGCACCACCCAGAAGAAGACCCCCGTAGCTCGCCGCCGCCGCCATATTATGGTGGTGGTACTCGTGCACCGCCCTGAGGGATTCGATACGCGTTCCAGGGTGAAAATTGCGAAGGACGAGTCTGGGAGGCGCGCGAAAGGGGCGCCTCATCTCGCGGAAATGCGACTTTTGCACACGCGATCATTGAAATCGATGACAAGGTATTTCCTTGTAAGAAGTAATCATGCGGAGCGTGCCGCATGATTACTTCTTACAAGGCGTTCTATGACTTCTATTGCGTTTGGCTATAGGGCCAAATTGTCCTGTCTACATTTAACCCTCTGTACACAACGATGAATTGATGAGACCCGAATATTCGATCACTCACTAACTTTCGTGAAGGGAAATATTCAAAGCATCTTTTTGCAGATTTTGATTTTACTGCTGTACTGTTATAGCGCTACCCTTGTAGCTGAGGTTTATCTCTGGAAAAAAATGTGTCTGAAAATATGAATTTTTAACACGATAGAAGTTCAACGTTGCTCGGATTTGACAGATCCAGATTGCGCTGTATGTTCAAAAAATAAAGATTACACGCGGAAAGTTGATAAAATGAAGTAGATAGACGTATCTGACACTTGGTGGAAAAGTGATGAAAATAGGAAGATTACGAAATAGTTTAGAAAGTACAGGTACAAAGGCTATCCTTTGGGCCTTGGGACCACCTATGGGCTCGCAAAACGCGTTGCGTCGTGTACGCCGCATTCTTGAGCGTTCCGCATAATTACTTCAATTGCGATTTAATCGAATACGATTAGTAAAGATCGCGGTAAGACGCGCAATGTAACGTAATATTCATGATAGTTGGTATAGATTTTATCGCGGGCACTCGACTGAGTCTACGTGAGAACTAAGAACCTTCGCGTTGTTAATGTTTTCGACGGTACGTCCGAAAAGGGTGAGCCGAAAAGGTAAGAGGGAAGAAGAAAAAGAGAGCGATGGAGAAAGAAGAAGAAGAAGAAGAAGAAGAAGAAGACGACGATGCAGCAGAAGAAGAAGAATAAGAGGAACAGCGACGCGGTTTAAAAGCGAAAAAGAAGAGCGCGAGCATGTGAAAAATACTGAAAACCGTCGGGAGCAGGTAACGCCGAGATCTTTAGCACTGATCCGGCCGCGGCCGTCGTATAAATTACGAGTCTGTCACCGTCGCCGTAGGAAGAGGACGAAAGGTATCGGCGAGTTCCCTTTTTTTCTGTCTTCTCTCCCGCTCGCGTTCAATTTCCCTCCCCGCGCGTTCCCACGTGCGTTCAGCGTGTAACTCTTTTAGGACTTTACGATTTTTTTGAGAACGTCACCACACTTCGACGTCGACACGTGACGCGCCCCTTTAATCACATCACACACGCGGAATCGTACGACGCGATCGTACGACGATGGCGGAGCGTTAAATCGCGCGGATCGCGAATACGAGGTGTCAATGTGTACGTCCCGACGTTAAGCGTGAGCCACGAGTGTGCTGCCGCGTGTGGAGCCGAGTTGTGAAAAAACAAAATTAAAGGAAATAACGAGACAGCGAATAGTTAATCCGACGTGACTGAGGATCGCGTTTAGAAAATACGTATTGCCCGTCTCGCTAATTAACGCCCGAGCTATGTGGCGTTTAATGGCGCGCACGCTGGAAAAAATCCTCAGCATGTGGACCCGGTTTTATATCCTCGGCGTGCTGTGGAGTTACACGCGATTGCTCGATCACGAGGAGTTGGCTTACGCGCGTCTAAGAGTCAACGGAACGTGGACAACGCGTCGATATTCCGTCGCGCAACATTGTAAAGAATGTCTATTAATGGGCGTGAGGGGAGAGGGAAGTTATGCTGTTTATGTAAAACGGAGAAACGAGAGAAAGAGAGAGAGAGAAAGAGAGAAAGATAGAAAAAAACAGAAAAACAACAACGATCGGTAGCACTGACCTGTGGTGATACTGTGGGTAATGCGGATGCCACGGATCCGTCGGGTACTCGTAGACATCACCGGGATGCTGACTATTCCAAAAGGAAGGGGGAAAGTTCCTCATGGACATGGGGGAGATATTTTCTGCAATAAAAAAGAAGACAGTTTCAGCGACGCACTTTTAATGGCCCGTGCGAGAAAACGCGCGCGCGCTTGCGAGAAATCCTCGAGAATGAGACAGAGACAGAAAGAGAGAGAGAGAGAGAGAGAGAGAGAGAGAGAGAGAGAGAGAAAGAGAGAGAGCAAGAGGGTGAGAGAGACAGACAGAGAAAAAGAAAGAGGGGTGGGGTAGTGTCACTCGTTTCCTTTTTATTTTCCCCGCGAGACTTTTATTTCGCTGCCAGAAAATATCCAGGACGGCCGGAAGGTCCTGCGTGTCGCTAGTCCCTGCAATTCCAACCCTTCCTCGAGCGCGCGCATTTTGGCGCCTGCCCGACGAGATACCGATTCGAGAACGGCTCGCCTACGGTCGTAAACGTCGCGCGCGTCTCTACTTCTACGTTCAAGATCGCGGATAATTAAGAAGCGTCGTGTACGCGTGTTGTCAAAGAAAAGGGGGACTTCTGGGACACGCACAGAGCCATAAACATTGGCGCCACCGACTGGTGATCTCCGAGTGATGATTTCCACCGATAAACCCCACCGTGGACTGTTCCACGACGGTGGACAGTCACCCTCGGGGAAACAAATTCCAGGCGGCCGTGCTTCCACCAGAAACCTCTTCGTCTCGAGCAACGGGAATAAATAACGTCACCGGCCGGCTAAATCATCGTAGTTTGTAACGGCGGGAGTAAATTAGCAGCCGGTATGCCTCGCCTAGAAGATAATCGAAGTGACTTTAGCCGGAGATGAAATCGTGCGCGCGGGGAGGGAATTGAAGGCATAAATCGTGCTCGACTGCGTGGTCGACCTCGCGTTGGTCCAGCCTTCGGACGCGCGTCCTGATTGGTCGGGGATGGGCAAGAAGAAGAAGAAGAAAAAAAGGGAGAAGAAAAGGAAAAGAAAAAAAAGGGGAAAAAGGAAGGAAAAGGAAAGGGAAGAAAAGAAGAGGAATCCGATGCGAGCGAGGAGCGCGGGGAGGATCGCGGGAGGATACACGACAAGCTTCTGGCTTCGGAGTGGCCGCTTGTAAAACAACCGAGCGGTGCCCTTCTGCCTTCCGCCGATTCGATCCCGTGGGATTCTGCCTGCCCGTTTAGCGAGATCCTCTCCGAAGGCGACCCGCGTCCGTGGGAACGACACGGAATATTTTAATAAAGCCTCGTCCCGCGATCGCTCCGACTGGTACCGCTCTCTCCTAATTGTTTGGAATGATGCTAATGCGCGATTAACAACACACATGATACGTCGCAATGACGATGATCCCACGTGAAATAAGGTAACGGTCCTAATTATGGGTCACACTTAAGGTACTTGGAGTAACCATTCACATAAAGTCGATCGAACATTAACACGAGCTGCTGTGATATCGATATAAGCAACCAACAATACAATTTTAAGACGAAAATTATTAGACTTTGAATTAGTTTACTCTAAATTGTAAGACGATAATTAGAAACGTGCGTAAATCCAGATTATGTATTAATTGTCTCATTTTTATATCAATAATAATGTCCATATTTACTACATTGGTAATCCATATTGTTTTAGTCCATATAGAATAATAGTATACAATCTTACTAGCACAATGAACTAGCAGTTTCATAAATCTAAGGAGCGTAAAGCAATCGATATCTTAGATATTCTTTTTTAATTCTTATTCTTTTTTAATCTTGAGGATGTAAATATAGCCTTAGAATATAATTGTATAATTATATAATTAAAAGAACTAAAGAATATAAAAGCATTTTCTCTGGGTGTTTATGATATGTACTTTTCCAGTACGTTGACAAGCCAAGTTTGATCCGAAATTGGGGCTCGATTCTTAACTGGGACTGTTACCTTAATCGCTGGGAAGAGAAACGATGTGAATTTATCGAATGATCCTTGATTCGTTGAGGAGAATTCTTCGCAGTTATGTCGCGCGACACCTTGCATTTTGTCTTTTTGTACGTGCTACAGTTGCAAAAAGTGCGAACTCACAAACAGACGCGCGGATAAGCGGCTATCTTTTATTATGTGGATTTTGACACGAGAGCGACGTTTTACGATGACGAGAATGGCGACGATCCAGCCGCGCTAAGATGCGCATCGAAATACCGGATCTTACATAAACGAGCGAGTCATAACGTGGCGAGTTATAGCCCCGCGATAGCGCGGCAATAACACCATGCGATTAATTGATCGCACGCGAGCGTTAGCCCGAAGTATCTACAAATGAGCCATCAATTAAATTGATTCTCGCTCAGCGAATGAATTTCTGTTAAGTATGCACAAATAGCGCTAATCAATGCCGTATCTCGATCAACCCTAGTTATCCTTCCTTTTTTTTTCCGGATAGCGCAGTATCCGCGTGTGTGTGTGTGTCTGTGTGTGCGTATGTGTGGAGCACACAAACGGAACAACTGGACACAGGGAATGTCGCGCGATTAGCGAGCAATTTTATCGAGCCTCTCTATGATAATTAATTAGAAAGTTAAAAGGATTGGACAATCCGAGTGTTTCCGACAATTTCTCTCGGTTTGATTTGGAAAGCGCAATGGCAAAATCGAATATGAACTTCGAGCAATTACTGCGCGTATTTCTCGAGATTAACGGATTAACGCGTGCGCCGCGGAAAAATGTAATAGCCATAATTAAAGGAGATCCTATACGCGGGTATGATCTTTCAATCTTCGGGAGAGACAAACGGGGGTACTCCGGGGGAACCCGGAGGCTTCGTGGGACCGTTCACCAAGGCCCCTTCCTCTTTTCCGTCTCTAGTATCTACCTCGGCCTCGGTCCGCCGACTGTCCTTTATTTATTAACGCAATTAAAGAAACAGAGTGTCGACCGTCCCGCGGTCGGCTTTCTTCTTTGCCGCGACTGCAGAGAAAGGGGGTACCGTTCCGCTACGTAGAGGGGGGGAGGGAAGCGCGGAGGGAACGGGTAGAAAGGGTTGTCGAAGGCTGGTTCGCCAATAAGTACCCGCGTGTTCGGGAACTTCAGAAAACGCCGACGTTTTAATCGACGGCTTGCCGCGTCCGTCGCGTGATACCGCTCCGGCAATCGCCATTCGATCTTACGTAGCGAGGCAAATTACGTAGCGAAAAGTGTTCTCGTGCATAATCCTACAATTGATATCAAATTGTAGAGAACTTCTCTCGTCGCGATCGAATTTTTCTCGTCACCACAACGACTTAACTGCACGCGACACCGACACCTGCGCGTGCGATATCTCTTCAATTCAACTTTACTCGATTGTATTGTTGTACAAATCGTGTCGTTTATTTCGTTATAAATGCACATAATGTCTCCTTTTATTGACGTGCAATTCCAACAATAACAACCCGTGCTGTGCTACTCGAACAAGATGATGACTGTTTACTTCCAACCGGAACCCACTGTGTTTTCCCGAGCCAATTACTCGGATTCCTTTTTAATTCTTCGAGAGTAACCCTTTCTCTCTCTCTCTCTTTCTCTCTCCGTCACCACATCCTACTTCTCTCGTTTCTTTATTTTGGCAGTGCGCGCGCGTGTGTGCGTTTAGACTCAAAGTCGTTCAGTCCTTGTACGCACGTTACCCGGCATTCCGCGGCTAAAACTGTCTCTCCCGCGATGCCGCCCCTCCACACTCGAAACCCCTCCTCCCTAACCCCTTTGCCACGTTGCAATGTTCTCCTTCAGCCCTCCGCCGTGCCTCTTTTCCCAGCTTCTCCCAGAAGCTCTTAATTTACCTTTCGTACGAGGTACGCTCGCGGGAAGTTAACGCGCCCGGCGAAAGAGAAGGGCGAAGAGCAAGACGGCGAGGAAAGCAGGGAGTCAGGATGGGAGGGAGGAAGGGATGAGGCGTAACAATTAGGTCGTGTTGTCTTGAATTCTAAGCAGGCTACTGAACTGATCCTCCGGCACCGTGGTCGGGATAAATGCGGCCTTAAACGACACCGATATAGACGAGCTTGCCGATCGCTTGCCAAACCCGCTCGCGTGCTGACAATCCTCCCTCTCTCCTCAGCCTGTCGCAACAACCCTCGCGCGCGCGCGACCGGGATATTCCTTCTGTTCTCTCTCTTTTCCCCTCGCTTGGCCAGCCCGCCCGCGTTTTAAGTCGGCACGAGTACGAGCGAGCTACAATTGTCACGAGGCTTGTTAGCCTTGTCGCCGGCTAATGGCGTACTTTATTACCCGCCATGAGACGCTTCGGTATTATCCGGCTTCATCGAGATCACAGGGAAGGACGGTTCTAAACGAAACCTAACCATCACTGCGATCACTGAGACGAGAGATAGGAGTCAAAATTCTAGCCACGTGCGCAAAACAATTTCGCTCCTAATTTTAACAAAATGCGCTTTCAAACGACTTAAAGTCGTCTCTTCCCTAGCGAGTTACTCTTCTCCGCGTTACTCTTCCCCGCGCGAGAGGAGGGAGGGTGTGGGAGGGTGCGAATTGTTTCGTTGGGAGAACTCACCCTTTAACTTGTCGTGCGCAAGGGCCCGCTGAAAGTGTTCCTCGACCTCTGACGCCGCGTCGCCCCGATAATGCGTAAACACGACGCAGTTCGCGTTGACGTATTGCGCCCTGCTCTCGCCGTCGTCGGAGTCCTCGGTGGCGGTACCGGCGCCTACTCCTGCGGATATCGTATTTATCCACGTGAGCGCGTTACTTCACGTGACAGCAACACATATGCAAGTGTGTCGAAGTTAAGGCGAAAGATCCCTACCGTCTGTCGATCTGTCGTCGTCCAACGTTCGCGAGGGTTGCGAGGTGGTGGTGGTGGCGAGGGGTGGCCGTGGTTGCGGCGTTGGCCTTGGGGATGCGGGACTCGGTGCTGACCCCACGGAGCCCGCGCTACTCGGTTGACCTTGGGGGACGCTTCCGCCGGCGCCGCAAAGCTCGATACCGGCGGTTTCCAGGGACCTTTGGTGAACGTTCAGCTGGAACGGAAAGCAATCGGCGAAATTAGTCTTACGCGTGGGGAGGGGGGGAGGAAGGGAGTTTGGTCTTTCTTTATAATTAAATTTGAGAAAGATCACGCGAGAGATCGAAGACATTTCGGCCTCAGACTTCACGAGCGCCATACATATTTCCCGAACCTTACCATTGAAGTTTTACAACCTCGCTTTGTTCCTCAGCTCCTCGGGGTTCTCGAGGGAGGATCGAGGTCGTCGTGAAAATTCTATCTCTAGATTTCTATCGACAGTCTCGATTTCACGCTTAAAACTGCATCGACCGTTGCTTGTTTCCGCGGTGAAACGCGGCGGTCGGTGACGAGAGTGAAATAAAAATGACCGGTTCGAGATGGATGAACCCCTGCGAGGGATTCGTCGGGACGGACTTGGTATTCTCTGCGCGAACGTGCGCCACAGGACGCACTGTTTATCGGTTAACAGGTTAACGATACCGGTTAGACGCTCAGCACTTGAGCAATACTTGATGATTGCTACTTAACCGGTTTAATCGGCTGGCCGATGCACAGTTTGCGAGCGCAGCGCGATCGGTATGCTGATCATTGTGACGGATCGACCGATCGAACGGCAGTTTGAGGAGCAAAAGCGCCAAAAAGTGCGAGAAATAGCACTTCTGAGACGCGGAAAAAGTAAAAATCACGTTCTAATAGTACCGAGACTTTCCGAGGTGAAACTGTGTTTTATATATATATATATATATATATATATATATATATATATATATATATATATATATATATATAAGATATGAAACAAATAAATAAATAAAAATCCGGAGACAATTATGTATCCGGAGACTTTTCCTCTAATATACTGAGAAATAAAATACTTGAAAATTTACTTGTAGAATATAAAGTTTATTTCTGTGAATAAATTTTATATATCCTACAAATAAATTTTTAAGTATTTTTTTTCTCAATGTATGAATTCGTGAGTGATGGACATTTCGCGATATTTTCAAATTAGAAAATGTTTATTTCTCATAAATTCATGTTAGAAGAAAAGGTTCATGATCGACCTCCTGTGAAGTCCTCGAGAACGTCGATCGAGTTTGAAGAGGCAACGCCGCCGCATTCTACGAAAAACACCACCCGACCACTCTTCTCAGCGTTCAAAGTTCTCATGGCACGAGTTTTCGATCATTTCATGTCCTGTGGGACGTCGAAATCTCGTGGCGGATGTAGCGATCGGCGAAATTCTCGAGCGGCAAATCGCGCGTCGGGAGCGCGCGCCAGCGAAAGAGGAGCGTGACCGAAGATCGCGTCGCATTGCTCGCGTGGCATAGTGATCGCGATGATGGGGTGGAAAGAGAAATACGAGCGCGTAAATACCGGCGCGTTTTAACGGCGATAGCCGGGATTTTCCGCGTGACATCGGGGCCATGCGTTTTCTCGCGCTATAAAGAGAATGTCGACGACATCGGGCATGGCGACGGCAGCCCATTGACTTCCACGTTGTCGACGCGCCACACTTCGACACCACCGGAGTGGCTCGGTGATTCAACTATCCTCTCTATTGGCTGAATGCTCCCTCGTTAGGCACGAGCTGTACGATTTTTTCCACCGTTACACAGTGAATCGTTGGACAAATCGCAATCAAATTTTCCTCAACGTCGCATATATATGCGACAACAATAATTTTTCTTTCTACCCTGAGAGAAAAAAAATTGAAAACCAGTAAATATTTCGTGGGGACACTGATTGGCTATGAACATATTAATAACATATACCAAATAAGTTTTTTTATTTCTTAGATATTTTTTTTCTCTCAGTGTATGCCTATATAAAGTCTGTTTTATGAAAAAAATACCACACATTACTTACACATGTTATACATGAGAAATAGGGTGAGACGCGAAGAAGGTTTCTCAAATGAACCATGTTGAAAATGTACTTATTGAAGATTAAATGTTGTAGTCGCAAAAACACTCAATATCAAATATTAAAGCAATACTTCACAGTGCGGTGACTCGAGCCTAATTAACGCAAGTAGATAGCGGATACCGAATCTTAAGACATATGTTGAATTTAGCCGACACGGTAAATGAGTCTGAATTCTTGTCTTGATGTCCAGTGCTGATTTGATCGCGCGGTAGCAGTGGATTTACCTCTCATTCGGCCGTTCGATTCCGCGGGAGCAAAAATGCGCGTTGATGTCCAACAAATCACTGGGAACCGTGCTTTTCCTGCCCCTCGTCGTGCTCGTGGTCGTCGTCGTCGTCGACGCCGACGACAACGACGAGCCGAGAGTTTCGTTCGCTACCCCGCCTAACCAATTACGTGCATGCATCAGCGGCGCACGGAAATAAGCTGACGCTGATGTATGCGCCGGTCGGCGGTCGGCGGAAGGACGCGAGGGACGGGGGAACAGGCGATGAAGAAGAGGAAAAAGACGAACGAGCACGCCTCCGAGAGAGATGCTATCGTTATCTACTCCAATAAACTCGGGCCCGGCGTTCCACGGGGCAGTACATCATCGCCATGCTGCACACAAAGTGATGACGAGCGATGACCTGTGCTCGCTCGCGCTGGAGTAAGCGTCATCGAATGAAGGTATATCCGCTTGTCATCGTGGTCTTCGCGACTGCTGATTGGTAGGCGGTGCGCGATGAAAGGCGGGAGAGCCTTTAAACTCGCTCCCCGAGCACCTACAAACATCACCGTGCGCGAGTTCGCGCCATTTATTCGCGAGTGATCGGTCCGCATTCCTAGCGATTACGTCAGAAGTCGCGAACACTATGTTGCACTCGTATCTGCCTCGGCACGGTCGAGACGGTGTCGCGTGATGAGAATCGAATGCGCGTTATCCGGACTCATTAGCAATCTCTCTCGTTTTTATTTCTTCTCTTTTGATAGAACTTGCAATATGTAATATCTGCGGTCTGTGGTACTATTCGTACTGCTCTATTTCATGATTAGCTTCCTTCGCTTGGTCACGTTGTTCTCTTGTTGCTACTTGCCACAGTGTAACAATGTCGCCTACGTGTATTGCTGAGATATTCTCTATGTATACATGTTGCTATTGGCACCACTTTAATGTATCTTTAGTATTACTTCTTTCTCTTATTATTTTTCACGTGCTCGACTCTGGCACTTGAATTTGTGAAGCTCCCGGGGCTTGTTAAACCACAGGGCACAGATGAACTCTACTCTAATGCTACAAAGATTACACATCCAATTTTCCCAGGTTGCGTGCAACCTCAAGCGTGACCAACTAGAGCCTCTTTAAAGGCGAGAATCCCGCCAATCGATAATTTATCGAAAACTCCAACTCGAAGGTTTCGAGGTAACGCACCTTGTCCGATCGCTTCGCAGGACACCCCGCGCGAAATTCAGCGCTCGCGCGGGAACGAGAGTGTGGGAGATTAAATCAAGGAGCAGCGGGTCTTCTACCATAGATTACCACGGTAGAACAGCCAGCGCCGGTCGGTCGGACGACAATGTGGTAATTAATTGAAGCAAGACCGTCCCCGACAGCCTCTCTTCCTCTTTTGCTTTTTCTCCCTTCGCTCCGCAGCCAACGAGCAGCTCTAGCCAAGAGAGCTGCTCGCGGCCTTTCAAAGCATTCCAAAGCGCGAGTCCGCCCGTTCCTCTCCACGGCCTCCGCTCGCTTCTTCTTCTTCTTGCCCTCTCCCTCCCCCGCCATCCCACCCTCCCTCCCACCAACCCTTTCTGCCGGTGTCGAGTCATTTCACGAAAGGCCCGAGGCCGCATCTTTATTTCTTTCCCTTTTGTCTTATAGATCTACCAGGACTATGGTGGATCTTAGGTTCCCATAGATAGCGCTTCAGATCCTACGATCATCGGTTCTAATGTTGTTCTTTCTGCTGGCAGTTCATTGAACTCGATTTCGCGCGCAGACTGAACAAATTTATATATTTTTCTTACGTTTCTATTTGTCATCGGGGATGGGAGGATATTCTCCTCTCCCGGGGGACAGAATTCTTTGCGTCCCAAGTCCGTTTTGCAACACTTTCTCGGAGTGTTCCTCGGGCGTCTCGATCTGCCTTCGATTTCCAAGTTCCGAGGGTATTCTCAGCTTTCAGGGATGCTCGATACCCCCGCCCATGTTCGGTCTTTAAGGGCGACGTCATCGTGCCGCGAGCCAGGTGCTATTTATCACCTCGCTCGCGGGTACGACGGGCAGCACGCCGAAGCGGGTAACGAGCAGGTAATCCTTTAGTCAAACCGCGGGCCGCGCGTACACGTTTGCATTTATATCGCGAGCCGGCGATATTATTCACGGGGTATCGCGCGTCCGCGGCGAAACACATTAAGCGGATACCAGCGCGCTTCTTTCGCGGCAGAAGACCCTTATCAGCGGGTGGCGCACCGTTTACTCATTTGTGGACGTCTGGTAGCACTTAGCTGTTATTATGAAGCGAAGTCCCTACGAGAGAGATAAAGCGGGTAGTACACGCTAAAGTAGACGATTAGCCGGTGTACCGCGAAGAAGCAGAGGAGGAGGAGAAGGTAGGAATAGCGAGCTGATGAACGTGGGAATGAAGGGGAGCGGATTGTAAGGGAGCCTGCGATCTAAGAAATACCAAGCCGAGGATATCGGTAATCTGAGCCACCCAGTGTCTAACGAATATGACTTTAAATCACCCACCGTTAAAGAAGTCTCAAGCGGGGAGAGAGCGTAAAAAAGTCAGAAATATAGAACGCGAGGTATTTCGAGAAATCCCGCATGTGCGAGATGTGCGCATGTGAATACAGCCTCGAGGAAATGAAGAAGCTGGATTGCGCGGAAATTAGGAAGCGAGGAGTGAAGGCCTTGCTCGTTACATCTGCGAGGTAGTGTCGCGCGTCCATAGAAACCTATCCTCCAGCGCGGTGACGATCGATCAAATTGGGAATCCCAGGCATCTAGTAACACGGCGTTTATCTCGAGACACATTTGCAATCGCATACGGAGACAGAGAGGGAGAGAGAGGAGGAGCCCGTTGACACAGTAGTAAGAAGGCT